CAAATTTGGGAAAAGTATGTGTGTGTAAACAGATTTTTTGCTGTAAATCGACTTTTTCTCAAAAACGACTGGAGCGATTTCAGAAAGTTAAAAGCCAGCCATTTGATGTATCTCGATGAGGACTAGCGTTTTTCAATTTTGCGCGACGATCAGCCAAGCCATATCTTTGTTAATAGCAGAGAAGTGAAAAGTTTTTCGTCCACGTTTTAGCCCGCAATTCTAAATCAATTTTGAAAATTCAAAAACCGTTCGAAAGATATGGGAATCGACCTGATTAGTATTTGGTAAAGATCGGACGGGCCGTTTTCTTGTATAAAGTATTAATTTTTTTTTTTTTGACGGTACATATTATAGTCTTATAGATCATACTGAAATATCTCGGCCCTACGACAAGTCGCTTAATTTTAAAAATTCTTCAAAATTTTCAAAAATTAGTATCGTTTTTTCGGCGTTTGTCAAAATTAGAACTTTCATCGACGTTTGCTCAAAAACGCCTGAACAGATTTCAGAAATTTAAAAGCCATTTGATGTATCTGAATGAGCACTATCGTTTGTCAGTTTTGTGCGACGATCTTCCGAGCCGTTTCTTTGAAATTTGGAAAAAAGTGCTAAACTTTTCGTCCACATTTAAGCTCATACTACTGAATCGATTTAAAAAAATTAAAAACTGTTTGAAAGATATTAATTGGGAATGATACTGATTAGTTTTAGGTAAAAATCTACCGAGCCGTTTTCTTGTAATTAGCTGTTGAAAAAAAATTTAAGACGATTTTCATGGAACATTTTTTGGCGATATGTATCATGGTCTTATAGAACTTACTGAAATATTACGGCCTTGCGACAAGTAGTTTTTTTTTTTAATTCAAAAAAGTTTGAGAAAATGAGCAGTTTTTTGGACATTTGTTAAAATTAAAATTAGACGTTTTACTTGGTATAACGATAAAGTACTTGATCTTAATGAACATACTAAACCATTAAAATCCTATGGAAACTGGTTCAATTATAAAAATTGTTGATTTATTAAAATTTGTTTTTAGAAAATACTCCGAGTTAACGTGTTCGTTCATTTTCAAGTATGTGTAATAAATCCACTCGGAATACTTTTAATCACTCATAAATTAATTTATTTTTTATTGATTAAGTCGTTTATTTACACATTTCGGGAAGTTCATGTAACTTTTTGTTTCATAATATCTCATACCAGACACCCCTGTCTGACTGAGATATGAGATTAATATATAAATAAATATAAAAAAAAACTTGCCTCAAGGTAAAATACCAATACCAACTAGTTAGTTTAGTTTTTACATAAAGTTTGTTTTGTCCAAAAAAGCGTCATTCTGAATCCAATTTCCAAATTAGAAAATGTAAGAATCTGAGAGCCATTTGATGAGAATCGACTCGATTAGTTTCGCTGACACTCGCCTTGATTAGTTTTACGAGACGATCAGCCGAGTCTTTTCTTTAAAATTAGCTGAAAACACAACATTTTTGATCCATGTGTTAGCTAAGAATCCTGAAGCGATTATAAAAATTCAAATATATTCGAATTATTGTAGTTGAGGATCATGGAGATGAGTTTTTGGCTCGCCCGGACCACTTCTTGTAACTGTTGAAAATTATTGTTGACTTATGATAAGTGGTTGAAATCGTTCGACCGGTTTTTGAATTTTCAAAATCAATTGTAAATAAATTTGTACTTTTCCGCAACGAAACCGCTCGTCCATTCGTCTCGCAAAAATCAGCACGAGTCCTTATCATGGTTCATCAAAAGGTTTTTAAATTTTTTAAATTGATGCAGCATTTTGGAGAAAGCACCGACTAAAAGATAATTTTTTTTAGAAATGTGAATTTTCGTTTTTAGTCGTTATTGTACAATAACATATGATACTTAAACTATTTGTCAAAAATAGTAAACCAGTACCAAAACATATTGGCACATTTTGTCAGTATTAATGAATAAACTGAAAATGTTTCCAATTTTGAGTGTCTACTTAGTATTTTTATATGGCACTCATGAATTATTATTGACAGTCGATTATTTGCTCATGTTGGAAAGATTATTCAACTTGCCTTAAGGCAAGATATCCTATGAATAAATTGATATAGACTTGAAAAATTGCGCTTGAAGAATGAAGTAAAATTAAAAAATTAAAATTTCTCATTTCAATTATGGAGACTTGGCCTTATGTACTATCTTACAAAGCCAATAACGTAGCTAAAGAAATAAAACATTGTTTCTATTTCAAATGATATCACATTTTTGTTCTTATAGTTCCAAATGATGGAAGCTGCATTTTATCATATGCCTCATCCTAGTGACAGTGAACGACTAAGGCAATACCTCCCACGAAATCCAGCACAAACGCCTTCATATTATCCACAGGTGAGATGAGTCAACAATAAAAACAATTGGTTATCATTAACTTGAATTATGAGTTCAACGTAATGAAACAAAAAATTACAATTACTTACAGACTCCGCTGCCACATTCAGACACTGTGGAATTTTTTCAACGTCTCTCTACTGAGTCCCTGTTTTTTATTTTTTATTATATGGAGGGAACTAAAGCACAGTATTTAGCAGCCAAAGCACTTAAAAAGCAATCATGGCGATTTCATACAAAATATATGATGTGGTTTCAGAGGCATGAAGAACCAAAAATAATTAATGAAGAATATGAACAGGTAACTTTTTTATATTTTATTTTTTATATGGTACATACAAGTTATATTAAATATTAACCGGTGTTGTTTATTTCAATGTTTAGGGGACGTATATATATTTTGATTATGAGAAGTGGGGGCAAAGGAAAAAGGAAGGCTTTACATTTGAATACAAGTACTTAGAAGATCGTGATCTTAATTGAAATAAGAGGTGACCGAAATCTGTTTTATTAATAAATAGAGTGATGAAAGTTTATTTAAGTAACATGAACAACATGTAATGTATTTATTTATGGATAAAATAATGTTGATCAGATGATGTTATTTTATAACATACTAAAATGACGTTGTATTGCATCAATATTAGGTTTTATTTTTTGTAATTAATGTTACAGAATATATTTTTGATTTAGACATTTTGTTTGAAATCAGGTATCCATAAAGTAATATTGCAATTGTTGACATACGTGTGATTGCCAAAAGTCTGATGTTAAAAGTGACCCTATTCTGTGACTTTCCTTCTGCACATTTATGCCAGACGGAATTGTGAACTTTCAGGGTTACTTGTATGATAATTTCAGTGAATGAATAGTGTTTCAAATGTGCTTTATAAACTGTGATGTGATTTCTCATTTCAATTATGGAGATTCATCAACTGACAATTGAAAAGAATATCAGTGTAAATCATAATAATTACTCTAATTATATTATATTACAGAATATTGTCCAACTGTATTTGTAAACATATGTATATATGTATATATATATATATATATATATATATATATATATATATATATATATGCAGTGTGTATATAGCACAATTTTTTATAATCGATACATAAACTGGAATGTAATATAATTGGCATGAACGTGGTGTGCTGTGCATTATTATAATAATTACATACCTGATAGGTATAATCATAAATAGTGAATAAATATTATTGTTATGATTTACTTCTGATGCAATTTAATGCATTTTATATGTTCTACAAATATATTGACGATGAAAAATTATGAGTTAACAAAATTAATGTGTATAAATACAGGTTATCAATTAGTATGTTGTATGAGATGTATGTGCATTTAATTGTACAGTTGTAAATTGATGAAATTACTTGTGCAATTCGAAATAAAATTAGGTTTTATGACCTTGTCATTAAAAACAATGTTGGATAACATCAAAAACATTTAGGATGTAATTTTATTATGGGCTAAATTCATTCCACAAGTACAATTTTAAAATCATTCTTAAGAGCTGCACTTCAAGTGTTACATTTGTATTTTAGACTGACTAAATGTTCTGATCAAAAAAGTGTTTCATTATGGATTTAGTGCATGCAATAAATCAAACTTTTGGATCACAAACTCAAACTTATTATATATTAATGAATTTGTTTGTTATAAATAATATATAATATTTATGAGTAACACTCGGCTGGCATATGTAAATATATATAAATCATGCTTTAGTAATTATTGTAATATGAAGCAAACTAAATCAGAATAATCAAACATTTTTAAGAGTCCCTGAAGTACAAAAACAGATTTGTGACTGTTTTCACTTTTGTAAAAAGAACTAAATATATATAAGAATCTAAAAGTAAGATGAAAATGTACAGAATAAAATCTTATTTGTTGTAGAATATAATTTTGTATATTTATTTTATATATAATTTTGTTCTATCATGCTTTAATTTTGAGATTTGAAAAAAAATTAGATATAAAAATAATTTTATACAAAAAATTTAAAAAAATTAAGGACCTGTACTGAATATGTGCAGATGCAAATTTGTGTTTGGCATGCATGTATATTATATACCTGAGGTAAATAATATATTCGGACTTACAGATATTTTACTCTGTTACATTATGTAATATTACAATTTGTCTAAAACAACACACTTAATGGTAACCTGGAGCAAATACAAATGATTTTGTCTAAATTTTATATGTTGTTTCATTTCACCTAAAATAATTTAAATGATATTTTGTTGCAATTAAATAAATATATTATTTATATTATTTATAGATTTAAATGATAAATATTTCTGTCTGATCAACAAATGCAAGATGAAATGTTCAGAAAAGTACATTTTTTCCTTAATACTTTGAGTTGGGAACTATATACTCTATGCATATGTTCTTAGGTTGCATCCATAAAAAGAAAAAAGATGAGTATGGTTGATAGATATACACTCTCCTTTTCTTCTTTTATCTATTCTTTATCTATGGATACACATTAAATTTTTTTCTGCACTAATTATTTATTACAGAATCATTTAATATTTTAATATCATATAATAAATTTAATAATATAATACATTTGTTTCGAATAAATATATGTTAATGATAAAAGACATAATTAGGATATGAGCATAATCCAAATTACTACAATACAATTATTCGCAAAGTTATTTACTGATCTCTTGAAATTTTCAGTTTATCTGCTTGACTTTCTTTATCAGCAAACGTTTTTTGATCATTACCGCGTTTTTTTATTAACAAATTTTTTATTACTAACATGTATTTTTACCGGCCTAGTATCTACAACTATTTCTGTTTGAGTTTCAGCATGACATAAATTATTTGTTATATAACGGTTGCAAATAAATGTATGTGAGTTGACATCGGAGCTTGAGTAAAAATCAACTTGGCACTCTTGGTCAACTTTTAGAGATACAATCGGAGGAGGTTCACATTCATTTATCACTTGCATTGGTTCTTGTATAGTGAGTTCAGAAGTTGACGGTGGAGGTGATTTTTTTTTTATTTTACGGGTAATTAAACGCTTGTATCTAAAAATATTAAATTATTGTAGTTAAATTATTAACAATGGTATAGTTTTACCAAATAAGTTTTACCTGCTTATAATCGTAGATTCACTAACTTTTCGAGTTTTATAAATTGCAGGGAAGATTGTCGGAACGAAGCTAGGACTCAATACGGCGTCCGATTTTTTTCCTCCAATGAAATGTTCACTGCAAATGCGATCATAAGGCTTGGGAACCCATGGTGATCCATCAACACTATACAAATATATATTTTGCAATATTTCAGCAATGTATTAATTACATTGTTTGCAAAACATTTTTTTCTAGTAAGCATTAAATTTTGATAATATAACAATTTATTGACTTATAATTTTTCTTTTTGCTAAACATAACAATTTTACAACTATTCATAATACGCCGAATTGTATTTTTATAACAATAAGGTTATGATACTTACTTTATTCTTCTAAATTTATTTTACCTTGATCTTGAACCCGCAAAAAATAACAAAGACATATACAGCGTAACAAAGATTCTTAACAACATAATTCGTATAGAACCGCCACACTATAATAAATCCGTTGTGCAATGCAAAAGATGCCAACAATTCGGTCACACTCAACGTTACTGCAATAAACCGTTTACTTGTTCCCGTTGTGGTAACAATCATACTACATCAGACTGCAAGAAACCTGAAAATGTATTAAATTTTGTACAAATTGCGACGGAGATCATGCAGCTAGTTATCGTGGATGCCCAGCATATAAGAAGGTATATAATCAAAAATTTCCAAAAATGAATCATAATACACCACAAACGTTATAAACCAAAAATCCAACAACAGACATACGGTTAATCCAACTATTACCACTAACCCGTACCCGAATCTAAATCTAAATCAGATCGCTAATCAAGGTCACCCTCGAACATATGCACAGGTGTTAAATAACAACGTTAATCCAGAGTCTGCTTCAGGCATATCCGCAAGCTTCGCTCAGTTCATGCACGAATTCAAACAGATGTTTAATCAATTAATTCATCAAAATGGTGTGGTTTCAACCTGCTAACAACTTTATTAATAAAATTAATCCGTAATGGCTAAATTTATAAGAATTGCACTTTGGAATGCCAATGGGCTCCTACAGCACAAGCTAGAATTAACTACTTTCCTTACTTTGAATCGCATTGACATAATGCTATAAGCGAGACCCACTTTACTAGCTTCTCTTTCTGCAAGATTCCGAATTACACACTACACTATTGCAATCACCCGGATGATACGGCTCATGGAGGATCAGCCATACTTATTCGAAATACAATAGTTCACACCGAACTTCCTCCGTACCAAAAAGAACACCTACAAGCAACAACAATACTTGTCAGTATGCATCTTTACAAATTATCAATCTCAGCAGTGTACTGCCCTCCACGACATAATATCAAGCAAACAGATTTTGAACAGTTTTTCCATCAATTGGGTGCGAAATTTCTTGTAGGTGGTGATTTTAACTGCAAGCACACTTCTTGGGGATCACGTCTGATCACAAGCAAGGGTAATGAGCTCCTGAGAACCTTAAATAATAATAATTATTCATTTCTGTCCACTGGAACCCCGACATATTGGCCTAGTGATCCTCAAAAAATACCAGACCTGCTCGACTTCTTTATTTTGAATAACATAAATGAGAACGTGACGAATATTAAGCCATCATACGATTTATCCTCAGATCACTCTCCAATTGTTTTAACTATAGGAATCACAGTTATACAAAAAATAAATTCAAATATATTACATAGCAAATATACAAATTGGGAAACATTTCGAGAAGTTTTGAAAGAGCGAACAAATTTACATATCAGTCTCAAAAGCGATACTGAAATTGACAAGGCTACTGAAGATTTGCTTCAACACATTAAGACTTCAATTCAAGAAGCAACTCCTAAAGTTCAAGCATCACCTGCATTCCAAGATATTCCGTTGGAAATCAAAGAACTTATTCGGAAAAAAAGACGTGCCAGAGCTAAATGGCAACAAAATCATAGACCTGACGATAAAAATTCATACAATAAACTTTGCAGAGAACTTAAAAGCAAACTTAGGCAAGTCAGAAATGAAAATTTTGAGAAGTACATTAATAATCTATCCAGATCAGATAACTCGATATGGAAAGCAGCTAGTAATGTGAAGAAGCCTAAATTCTTTTCTTCATCTATTAGAAACAGTGCTAATGATCCTTGGGCAAGAAGTGAAGAAGACAAAGCGCAGCTTTTTGCTAAATACTTGTCTAATGTTTTTAAACCATTTGATTCTACCATGGATAAAGAGATTGAAGAAGAATTGCTTAAACCTCTACAGTTATCACATCTTTCAAACCTATCAAACCCAAAGAAGTCAACTCGCAAATCCAGATGTTAAATACAAGAAAATCGCCTGGTTTTGATAAAATAACTGCAAGGGCGTTGAAAGAACTTCCTAAGAAAACGATTGTTTTAATAACGTATATATTTAATGCCATACTCAGAGTAGAGTATTGGCCAAAATCATTTAAGACTGCCCAAATATTAATGATTCCCAAAAAAGGCAAAAACTTGACTGAGGTGTCTTCATATAGACCAATATCCTTGCTTCCCGTAATATCTAAACTGCTTGAAAGGATTCTTTTGGACCAAATCAACAATGAGCTTCCTTCAGATTGGATCCCCTACCATCAATTTGGCTTTAGACGTGAACATTCGACCACACAGCAAGTTCACAGGGTTATTGACACTGTACATAAGTCATTTGAAAATAAGCATTTCTGTAGTGGTGTCTTCCTGGATGTTCGACAAGCATTCGATAAGGTTTGGCACCCAGGACTTTTATATAAAATAAAAGCATACCTTCCATCCAGGTATTATGGGATTTTCAAATCATATCTACAAGATAGGATTTTTCAAGTAAAAGTAAATCAAGTAACATCTGATTTCCACAAAATAATGTCAGGAGTTCCACAAGGTAGTATTTTTGGACCCTTCTTATATGTTTTATACACAAAGGACCTCCCATTACTTGAAAATCTGACACTTGCTACATTCGCTGACGATATTGCCATACTAAGTAGTAATCACAGTGCTGATCAAGCTTCCCGACAAAACGCAAGAACATATCAATAAACTACAAATGTGGCTTGCCAAATGGAAGATTTGCATAAATGAAACCAAATCAGCTCATATCACATTTACCCTGAGAGAGGGTACTTGTCCTCCAATTTATTTAAACAACGTCCAGATTCCGAAACAAAACATAGTGAAATATCTTGGTCTTCATTTAGATAGCAGACTTACTTGGAAAAGCCACATAAAAACAAAAAAGCAGCAATAATGATCAAAATGAAAGAATTTGATTGGCTTCTGCGTAAAAAGTCTAAGCTCACTGTTGAAAATAAGTTGCTGCTATATAAATCAATTATCAAACCAATCTGGACCTACGGAATTGAGCTCTGGGGATGTGCTTACAAATCTAATATAGCTATAATGCAGAGAACTCAGTCAAAAATTTTACGAACAATTCTTAATTCTCCATGGTATGTAACAAATGAAACCATTCACAGCGACCTCAAGATGAAAACGGTGCATTTAACTTTCCAAGAATTCAAAGAAAAATACAAACGCAAACTGGACTCACATTCGAACCCCTCTATAGTAGAAATTACTAAACCTTATGGTACAAGAAGATTAAAACGACAATGGCCTTTAGACTTGGTCTTAGATTAGGTCTAATATAATATTATTATATTAATTGTTAAACTGAGATGATCTCATTGGAGCTCTTCTTAGGCATCGCTCTTACATTGTCATTTTCAGCTCATAGGAATCTTAATGTATTTCTGATTGCTAAATAAAACGAGTTATAAAAAAAAAAAAAAAAATAAATAAATAAATAAATAAATATAATATTTATGAGTAACACTCGGCTGGCATATGTAAATATATATAAATCATGCTTTAGTAATTATTGTAATATGAAGCAAACTAAATCAGAATAATCAAACATTTTTAAGAGTCCCTGAAGTACAAAAACAGATTTGTGACTGTTTTCACTTTTGTAAAAAGAACTAAATATATATAAGAATCTAAAAGTAGATGAAAATGTACAGAATAAAATCTTATTTGTTGTAGAATATAATTTTGTATATTTATTTTATATATAATTTTGTTCTATCATGCTTTAATTTTGAGATTTGAAAAAAATTAGATATAAAAATAATTTTATACAAAAAATTTAAAAAAATAAGGACCTGTACTGAATATGTGCAGATGCAAATTTGTGTTTGGCATGCATGTATATTATATACCTGAGGTCGGACTTACAGATATTTTACTCTGTTACATTATGTAATATTACAATTTGTCTAAAACAACACACTTAATGGTAACCTGGAGCAAATACAAATGATTTTGTCTAAATTTTATATGTTGTTTCATTTCACCTAAAATAATTTAAATGATATTTTGTTGCAATTAAATAATTATTTATTATTTATATTATTTATAGATTTAAATGATAAATATTTCTGTCTGATCAACAAATGCAAGATGAATGTTCAGAAAAGTACATTTTTTCCGTAATACTTTGAGTTGGGAACTATATACTCTATGCATATGTTCTTAGGTTGCATCCATAAAAAAAAAAAGATGAGTATGGTTGATAGATATACACTCTCCTTTTCTTCTTATATCTATTCTTTATGTATGGATACACATTAAATTTTTTTCTGCACTAATTATTTATTACAGAATCATTTAATTTTTAATATCATATAATAAATTTAATAATATAATACATTTGTTTCGAATAAATATATGTTAATGATAAAAGACATAATTAGGATATGAGCATAATCCAAATTACTACAATACAATTATTCGCAAAGTTATTTACTGATCTCTTGAAATTTTCAGTTTATCTGCTTGACTTTCTTTATCAGCAAACGTTTTTTGATCATTACCGCGTTTTTTTATTAACAAATTTTTTATTACTAACATGTATTTTTACCGGCCTAGTATCTACAACTATTTCTGTTTGAGTTTCAGCATGACATAATTTTTGTTATATAACGGTTGCAAATAAATGTATGTGAGTTGACATCGGAGCTTGAGTAAAAATCAACTTGGCACTCTTGGTCAACTTTTAGAGATACAATCGGAGGAGGTTCACATTCATTTATCACTTGCATTGGTTCTTGTATAGTGAGTTCAGAAGTTGACGGTGGAGGTGATTTTTTTTTTTATTTACGGGTAATTAAACGCTTGTATCTAAAAATATTAAATTATTGTAGTTAAATTATTAACAATGGTATAGTTTTACCAAATAAGTTTTACCTGCTTATAATCGTAGATTCACTAACTTTTCGAGTTTTATAAATTGCAGGGAAGATTGTCGGAACGAAGCTAGGACTCAATACGGCGTCCGATTTTTTCCTCCAATGAAATGTTCACTGCAAATGCGATCATAAGGCTTGGGAACCCATGGTGATCCATCAACACTATACAAATATATATTTTGCAATATTTCAGAAATGATAAATATTTCTGTCTGATCAACAAATGCAAGATGAAATGTTCAGAAAAGTCATTTTTTCCGTAATACTTTGAGTTGGGAACTATATACTCTATGCATATGTTCTTAGGTGCATCCATAAAAAGAAAAAAGATGAGTATGGTTGATAGATATACACTCTCTTTTCTTCTTATATCTATTCTTTATTATGGATACACATTAAATTTTTTTCTGCACTAATTATTTATTACAGAATCATTTAATATTTTAATATCATATAATAATTTAATAATATAATACATTTGTTTCGAATAAATATATGTTAATGATAAAAGACATAATTAGGATATGAGCATAATCCAAATTACTACAATACAATTATTCGCAAAGTTATTTACTGATCTCTTGAAATTTTCAGTTTATCTGCTTGACTTTCTTTATCAGCAAACGTTTTTTGATCATTACCGCGTTTTTTTATTAACAAATTTTTTATTACTAACATGTATTTTTTACCGGCCTAGTATCTACAACTATTTCTGTTTGAGTTTCAGCATGACATAAATTATTTGTTATATAACGGTTGCAAATAAATGTATGTGAGTTGACATCGGAGCTTGAGTAAAAATCAACTTGGCACTCTTGGTCAACTTTTAGAGATACAATCGGAGGAGGTTCACATTCATTTATCACTTGCATTGGTTCTTGTATAGTGAGTTCAGAAGTTGACGGTGGAGGTGATTTTTTTTTTATTTTACGGGTATTAAACGCTTGTATCTAAAAATATTAATTATTGTAGTTAAATTATTAACAATGGTATAGTTTTACCAAATAAGTTTTACCTGCTTATAATCGTAGATTCACTAACTTTTCGAGTTTTATAAATTGCAGGGAAGATTGTCGGAACGAAGCTAGGACTCAATACGGCGTCCGATTTTTTCCTCCAATGAAATGTTCACTGCAAATGCGATCATAAGGCTTGGGAACCCATGGTGATCCATCAACACTATACAAATATATATTTTGCAATATTTCAGCAATGTATTAATTACATTGTTTGCAAAACATTTTTTTAGTAAGCATTAAATTTTGATAATATAACAATTTATTGACTTATAATTTTTCTTTTTGCTAAACATAACAATTTTACAACTATTCATAATACGCCGAATTGTATTTTTATAACAATAAGGTTATGATACTTACTTTATTCTTCTAACCGCAGCGATCCACTTTTCTCGTTGATTTTCTTTCCACTTAGCTGTAGAAAATGAATAGAACTTGCAGTCACTTTTTCTGCCGGTATTTCTACAACCCACTACACAACAGCTTTGGTGGCTCATTTTTAATTATATTATTCAAATTTGAAATAAACAAATATTTCGCACATGGCGAATAGCTGAAAATCATCTACATAGATAAATAAACAAGTGATCATAGATTTTAAATTATTGGCGCCAACCCGGTATTTCAACCAATCGCCGGTAGTGGCGCCCTTGATGTGACAGTTTCAGATTTCAGTGCTCTATAAAAAACAACTTGGCCATTTTGATTTTCAGTGTTTTCTATTTGATGTTTGTTGTTTTGTGAAATTAATTACGCGGATTTATAATTTGCAATACTTTAATATGTATACTGCAACTTAATACTTACATAATCTTGCGGCATGAAAGTGAATCTTGACTTCAGCCTTAAATAATTATTATTCAGCCGGCATGACTTATAATGAAAAATAGTTGCTAATGTGAGTTTTTCAGTTTCAAATAGTGCCTCCATTTATTACTGAAGGCATGAACATTTTATTAATAATTGTGTAAAACATAAATATTATTCGCAATGGTCTTGCAACTGGAATGTTGGCCGGACGAGTTAAGTCCTGCTCAATTAGCGGCGTTTAAAAAAGCAGATGATGAACACCAGGAAATACAAACTAAACTTGATGAAATCGTTAAATCCACTGGTGGAGAAGTCGTTTTTACAGGGGATAACTGTGCTGCTTATCAAGTGTCTGGAGGGTATGCATAATTTCTAGTCAAATTATGTATATTTATTAAAACTTTATGCAATTTATGTTGCTCGCTAAGTTGTCTACTCACTTGCTCATTTACCCATTTCTCTTGGAAAACATTCGAATCAACTATTTTCATTATCCCTGTAATTATAACTTGCAAGAAAGTATAAATAATTTAGTTTGATATACCATTTGCTATATATTATGAATTATAATTACTGAAAAACTAACATTTATTGAAAATCACTGAATCTGTAATAATATTTTGTTATAGAGTTGATATTTCTTAAAGGTTTACAATTAGAATTATCATCAGATTTGCATATGTAAATATATAAATATTTAATGTAGAAAATAGTCAATTAGATATATTTAACAGACGTCATTTGTTACTTCTATTGAATACAGACTTTTATCATTAACTTCATTGCTTGATACTCCAAATTACAAACTGAAATGAATTAAACAGCATGGAAATCAATATGAGCAAATATATTCCATTAGATGATAAATAGTTCATATAGTCTGGGTCAATCTGAAAAATTAAAATCAAAAGCTTGCATTTTTTTGTTTTTCAGAACGCCTTCTTCACTTCAAAATCACACAGCAAAGTCTTTAAAGGTTCCAAAGAATTCCCATTTAAGTACTCCTCACAGCGGATATGTTGATAATACAATACAAAAGACGAGTAGTGGTAAACGAGCAAGCCGCGCTGCGGCTTTGGCTGCTGCGTCAGCGGTTGCAGCATTGGATCGGGATTCTGACAGTCCCACACCTCCTCCAGCCAAGAAAATCAAGCAGGTGATTACAAGTCTGGAAGACCTAGTAAGAGTACCTATAAAAGCAGAAGTCCATCACCTCCACCTGCACCCACTACTAGTAAAAGTGAGTTTTTTTTGCCAAATTTGGATAATTTGATTTTTTATTTATATTGCAAAATATTATGTGTCATTTTAAATCATTTTAAATATATAGAATTTTTTAGCATAACATAATTACAGATAATTTGAAGCAAATTCATATGGCAAAAAGAGTACTAATTAAGGAGCATCCTATTTAAATTTAAAGACTTTCCATTGATATTAAATGTAATTAAATAATTTCTTCAAAAAGGAGACTATGAATTTGCTTGAACTTGTTTTATTGGGTTAAATAGATTTTGTCAATATAATCTTTATCAAAATAAAATTATTATGCATTATTTATGAGTAATAAACTTGATTTTACTGCATTTTGTCTGATATGTTTATATTGTTCATTATTTCTAGCAACAAGGTCGAAGGTCATTGCTAGTGAGCCTACCACCTCAAGAAACATCCTAAAGAAGGTATCTTTTGTTGTATATATGCAAACATTTATGTTTTATTTCTAATTCTATAATACCTTTATATAATACATATTATACCAGAACCTATAATACATTGTTCATTTTACTTAATTATATTAAGTAAATATAAATTATTGGATCTCTGTAGATGTCTTGATCACTTTTTTATTTTATATAAATCTTTACAATTATTATTTTGATTTTATATAAATTACTACTGAGGTATTTGCTTTAAGCTAATTATTTCAAGTAATGTAAATATATGATTTCTGCAATCAATGATTACAGAAATTTATGAGTAATAATGTTAGTTCTGAAGATAGCAGATAAATGCTAAGTTTAAATATAACTAATAAATTAGTCTGGATTTAATATTGACCCAAATCATTATTTTATTTTTTTTAGCAGTACAAAATGTAACAGCTACTGTTCGGCCAACTGAAGCTACATCTGTGGGTGGCTTAGCTACTGGTGGAGTTGGAGGCAAAGCCAAAAATACTTTTGTAGACCTAACGAAGGATGATTCTGGTAGACCACTTCCAGATTCTCGAGAAGTGTCATTTAATAAGTTGCAGGGTTTGTATAATTGTTTTAAATTCAGCTAATTATAAATTACAGTTTCAAAATATGAATCTTGTTGAATATTATGTGTGAAGCATTCACAAATGTAAATAAAAATGTTCAAGCCCTATTTTTTTATTATGTCATCAATTAACTTTCTGTTTATGTAAAAATGATTTCAGGTAAAACCTATCCATCCTTGGTTGTTGTAGCTAGACCTTACTTACATGCAAAAGAAAATATTAATGCTGATCGATCCGCACTAGATGCTAAAGTCAAAAGTGTTTTGATGCATACTCCAACAAAGTTCACAGAATGGCTAATTCAACAAGGGCTTGTCAGATCTGATCAAATTTGTGCAATTCACCCACAAAATCATTTGAAACTAGGTAAGTCAATCTTGAAATGGTGATGTTGGTTTGAATGATATTTTTAAAAAATGGTTTTATAGCTCAAAAGCAATAAATTTGTAGATAATACACAATTTACAATAATATTAATTACTTGTATTATAGTAAAGATGATTAAAAATGTATGATTTTTAATTGATATGGGGTATTATATTTTATGCATATTCATTTAAATAACAATTAATCAGTAAATATTTGTGGTGACTAAGTTTTATACTATTTTGATTAAATTAAAAACAGAATAATTTAATAAAATCATTTATTACAATACAAGTAAACCCTTTGTTGTCTTTAGGAATGTATTCGGATGTTTCTAAGTTTCCCTATTCTGGTGGTTATGTTTGGATTAGTGAATGCTGTCCAACGAGATTTGTTTCTGTTTTTTCTGGTTCTTTATTTGAAGGGGCTACTCATCCACCGAGTGTTCTCTTGAAACTGATATATCATTGGTCTTGTCAGACTAATGTTCAAAACGTTGTTCAATGGGTCAAGGTTAGTGTTATGTTCAGTTACATGGCTTACTTAAAACTTGATAAACTTGCAAATTATTTTAGTTTTGTAGACCTATATGCAAAAAAATTTTAGTGAAGTTCTCAAAGCAATAAATTACAAAGGACATATTGGTGTATCATGAAATATGATAGTGACAAAAGTCATAAATTCTGTTTAAAAATAGTTTGATTTGATGTTGATATGCATATATTAAATACTATTATTTTAGTCATATTGAGTCTATTTAATGATATTATAGTAAAATATGATTAATTTCAGTAAAATATCACTTTTGTGTAATTTATAATGTTTATGTTTATATGTTCTTTGAATCTTGGTTATTATTGTAGGTTTGCAATCTTTATGTAAAAGGACTATTTACATGGTTGCGTGCTGTTTGCACAGGTGCCCTGCACAAGCATATGACTATGCTTGGCGGTAATAATCAACGAATTGAAGTTGGAGTTATTTCTCTTGGTACTACAAGCCAGGATGGCAATCAAAGACAAGTTAAAGTGGAAGTGCTGGGTGTCCTAGATCCTGTTGCTAAACTGGTGAGTCATGGTTAATATAAGTTAGAACTTGCGATCTGATGAGATTCCAAGGAATGTTGTTCATTTGATGGTGATTTGTGATGCTGCTGATGGTCTAGATGTAATTGGGGTTATATTGACTGACAGACTTACCCACATTATTGTTATTTTAATATGATTTTTTTAAATAGATACATTTTGGTATTTCTGATAATAGTAATTACCGCCTATTACAGTTGTTTTCCAATAAGAATATGTTTTCAAGGGGATAGGTACAAACCAACCATCAAAACTCTTGAATGGTGCATGTTTGGAGAGTAGAAGAATTAAAACTATAAATGTATATTGCATGGCTAGGTAAACTGCTACAGTATTCTGCATAACAGAAGGAATATGTAATATGTAATACCAGGAATATATAATAGTAGTTTATGGTTGTGGCTTTACACTTATTTGGCAAAAATAGGTTATGCAAATATAGGGCTTTAACATGAGTTATAAAGTTTACAATGGTTTTGATTTTTTTTTTCATAATTGATATAAATAAATAATCTCTGAATAAACAAATGTCTTATAAAAGACGGTTAAATGCTTGGTTGAAGTAGAGTGATTTAAGGACTATAATCCTTTTATTATCTTTTGAGCAGAAGGAATTGCATTTTGGTTTTAATTCAATTCAAGAAAAATAATCATTTACTTATTGCACATTTTTGTACCCCATAAGATATGTCACACTTTCGAAACATACATTTAAATATTTCATAGTTTAGGTGCTGGTTATAATTAGGTTTGACTCATATCTTACTATAGTTCTAAATGCGACTTTTTTAGATTATAAATAAAGTGACAAAATCAAATTACCTTCATTGGGCTTAATTGTTTCTATTCCTTTTCTTTTTTTTTTTTTAGTAGGTGAGATTACGCGCAGTTGAACCTTTAGCTGATGGTGAGAGAAACTATAAGAAACGCTTTGTGAAAATTCTGGAGCCTCTTGCAAATTGGGTTCATAAAGACAGTGTAATTCTAACAGATTTGACAGTTGATAAAAGCACCCTCTTGAATATGGGCTATAAGACAGTTCATCAGGTATACTATATCATCCAATGCTCAATTATTTAAATATTTATTGTAGTAAAACAGAAATAAGTTTATGAAAACTGAATATAAAAATGGAATAAATTTAGTTCTATCTTTACTATTGCATAAAATATAAGTTGGATTCTTTTTTATTTTTAGGTGGCTGTAAATGATGTTAATAACAAGAATAGTAATAATGGGATAATGGAATATTTAAGAAGAATAGTTCCTCGCATGTTCCAAAATACATTATCTTTATTATCACGACAAATAATACAGCAATTTTTGGATGAATTGGTAACATTTTCTTTGTTATTTATACAATAAATAAATAATTTGATCTTCAATTCAATTATATTCATGCAATATTTTATTTAAATGTATTATGTGACATAAAAGAACTCATTATTTTCCAACTTTCTGATTTCACTTCTGCAAGCATTTTGTCAATATGAAATTTTTGTTGTTCTATTTTCATTTTAATAATTTGCTTGTCTTTTTATTTCTTGTAAAACTATTTCTTTTATCATACAAAAACTATTATTGTTTCTCATTTTAAAACATCACTTTCATTTTTTTAGGTTTGGCGAGAGTGGTATGGTAATACACCAGGATTGGCTTTTGATAATATAGTTAATCATATTGCAGAACAAACAAAATATGATGTTAAAGAAACCCTAACTACTCGATTAACAAAAGTAATTATACAAAATATTTGTAAATTTGTGTAAATATAATTTTTTTTAGCCAGTAGCTAATAAACAAAATCTTTGTCATTTATCAATTTGCTTCAATTAAAATTACATGAATAGCTTGACAAATAGCTAATTCTTGAAGCTGGATTGAGTAATACAAGCATTTTCTTCTGTTTCTAGGTATCTGCAAATCCATTTAAAAATTGGGCACCTCCAAAAGTAGCAGCTAAAGAACCTGTGCTTCCTGCTAAAAGAGGTCGAAAAAGAATCCATCCTATAGAATGTGAGTGAAAATATTTCGACTTTGAATCAATGTCTTTGTTACAATTGTTTATAAGTAAGAAGATAGCTTGTATTGTTTGTAACTGTCGCTTTATAACTTTTAATTTTGATAAGAATGGATATCAAATATATATTTTAGTTAACTTATATATGTATAAAATTATTAGAAGGATTAAACAAATTTTTATATTATTTTTTGGTTTTATTTCATTGAATCATTCTAAGTTTTTTTAAAGCTACTTATTTTTTTTCTAATGTTTCAAAACATTACCTAACTGATTACTTTCACATCTTTAACTATTGAGGCAAGAATAAATATTTCGACTTTGAATCAATGTCTTTGTTACAATTGTTTATAAGTAAGAAGATAGCTTGTATTGTTTGTAACTGTCGCTTTATAACTTTTAATTTTGATAAGAATGGATATCAAATATATATTTTAGTTAACTTATATATGTATAAAATTATTAGAAGGATTAAACAAATTTTTATATTATTTTTTGGTTTTTATTTCATTGAATCATTCTAAGTTTTTTTAAAGCTACTTATTTTTTTCTAATGTTTCAAAAACATTACCTAACTGATTACTTTCACATCTTTAACTATTGAGGCAAGAATACATTAAACTTTTAATAAATTAATGCACATGGCATGATTGGATTTGAAAAGAAACAAGCTTTAAATATAATAGTATATAAATTTATCAAACTTTCAAATTAATAACACAACTATCTTCTTAAAAATAAATATTTTAAGATTTTGTAATTAGATCATAAAATCGTGATAATATTTTGGTATTACAAATGGTAACACTGAATAAGATATCAGCTACGAGTATTATGTATATGTTGGCATTCCTTTTTTAAATCACAATTTTTTAAGTATGCGGTATTTCAATTTGCTGAAAATTGAAAGTTATTTAAGGCAGTGTATCATTTAAGGCGAGATTATTTTTACAGCATCACCCATTCCACAACCAGTTGCAAAAAACCTGCATTCGATAGCAAGAAAACAATAATGGAAACAAGAAAACCAATTATGGAATCTCGAAAACCAGTTATGGAAACCAGAAAACCAGTTATGGAAACCAGAAAACCAGTTATGGAAACCAGAAAACTAGTTATGGAAACCAGAAACCGGCTATGGAAACGCTATGGAAACTAGAAAACCAAAAAGAAACAAGCTTTAAATATAATAGTATATAAATATATCAAACTTTCAAATTAATAACACAACTATTTCTTAAAAATAAATATTTTAAGATTTTGTAATTAGATCATAAAATCGTGATAATATTTTGGTATTACAAATGGTAACACTGAATAAGATATCAGCTACGAGTATTATGTATATGTTGGCATTCCTTTTTTAAATCACAATTTTTTAAGTATGCGGTATTTCAATTTGCTGAAAATTGAAAGTTATTTAAGGCAGTGTATCATTTAAGGCGAGATTATTTTTACAGCATCACCCATTCCACAACCAGTTGCAAAAAAACCTGCATTCGATAGCAAGAAAACAATAATGGAAACAAGAAAACCAATTATGGAATCTCGAAAACCAGTTATGGAAACCAGAAAACCAGTTATGGAAACCAGAAAACCAGTTATGGAAACCAGAAAACTAGTTATGGAAACCAGAAAACCGGCTATGGAAACCAGAAAACCGGCTATGGAAACTAGAAAACCATCTATAGAAACAAGAAAACCAGTTATGGAATCCAGAAAACAAATTATGGAAACCAGAAGAGCAACACCTGAATTGAAGAGAGAAGTTAAAAAATTTCCAATAGTTCAGCTTAAAAAATCTAAGAGAACTGAAACACCACAACCGATTGAAAAATCTGCAGTAATTGAGTCAACACCCAAAAAAATTAAAGAAAACAAAGATTTAGTGGCTATAGAAAGTTACTATTATGGATATTTAGAAGGTGAACCCACGGATGTGAAACTTGAGCTTGATATTGAGGTATTATTGTGTTTATTTATAATGGACTACAAATCCGCATACATTATTAGCATTTATGAATAAATATCAAGTTGCTTAAATTGGCTTAATCACTTTATTATATTAAATGACTTTAATTTGGATCAAGTGATCCTTTAAAACGTTTATATTATATATATATATATATATATATATATATGTATATATATATATATATATTATATATATATAATAACCATATATTAATTCTTGTTTCATTTAGTGTTCTGAATGTTCTGAAAAATTTACAAATAATGTAAAACTGTTGGATCATCTGTTAACACATGTTAATCCAGTTATTGACAAGGAGTCAAAGTTATGCAGATATTGCCTAGAAATAATTCCAACTGAGGATGAACTCCGAAGACACATAATTCAAGCTCATCCAAATGATACAAAGAATACAATGGTGAACACTCTTGCATGTGTTATGTGTGAGGTATGTAAGAAAAATTTGATATAATTAATGCAAATTTAAGTTCTATATTTCAATGTTTTTGTATAAGTATTAATTTTTAAATTTTTGAAAGTTCAAAGCAATTGAATTTTCAGTCAAATAATTAGTTAATCAGTTTGATAGAATAATTTAGGCATGAAAGTGGTACAATGTCAGAGCAAAAATACAACACTGCCGTTTTAATTAAATTGTTGATGGAGAAATTACTGTTTTTACTAGAGAATCATATCTACAATTTATCATATTTATATTTTAGTTTTATAATCATTTAAATTTATTATAATTCTTAATATGGTATATTTTAGACAAGATATTCGACAATAGGCCTATTGGCAGCTCATATGAGCAAGATGCATGTAGCTTTCGAAATGCCTTACATGTGCGGCACATGTAATCACAGATGTTCTTCACATAGAGTTGCCATTGAACACTTTTACGAAGATCATGATGGAGATACAAGTTTGCAATGTCCATTCTGTTTACAGGTGAATACAAAATAAAATAGAACATGAAACTACGGTTGAAATATAAGTATATTACTATATATGTTTTAAATACATGATTCATGCATAGAAATTTGTAGTCTACATATATTCTTCTTTCTACTTGATTTTTTTTTTTTCAGGCTATGGTGATATGGGCTAAAGATAAGCCTCGAATTCAAACACTAAGGGATTTCTATGATCATTTGAAAAATCACATGGATCGAGTAACTGCTAAGAAATGTACTAAATGTGCTTTATGGTTCTATGACAAAGGTAATAAATGACTAAGAAACACTGGTAAAAATTAAACTTACTAAACATAATTAATTACATTTAAGGTGCTCTGAGAGAACATATCTTATATGCTCATAAAACTCAAAAACAACTTAGTCAGTATATAAAGAATAACTGCATTTCATCAACAATGGTTAATAGACCTAAGGTATGTATATTTTCTAACAATAATGTGGTTTTAATGTATTTATTATATGAAATTAGGATTGCCATCATAATATTCACTATTTTTCGAGCTGGAAGCTTAAAATCATCTTATCAAAATCATATACTGTATTTTTTTATTTTTAGATTAAAGCAACTCCACCCAGAGATATTATATCTCATACAGTTGTAGAAAATTATGACAAACTAACAATGTATGTTGAAGATGGTTTAAACTGCATAGAGTGTATCAGTGACTTTGGAGACAGAAGACATTTTCTGTAAGAATGCTAATTTTAATTATTAATCGCGCTAGATTAGAGGTATACTTAAATAATGAAGTTGAATTTCATTGCAGGGGTAAACTGAAATGTTCTAAATGTTTATATATTACAAGTTGCTTTAAAACTATGTTGAAGCATACTGCTGGCTGCACAGGTTTTAATTCAGCTACTTTAATTCCACTTGAACCCATTGATGCTGAAAGATATTGCATTTGCGGTTTCTCATCTAATGATGGTTTGTATTTTCTATTTTACCTTTGCGATAAAAAGTTTTATGATTGAGTAACTAAATGGATTAACATTTTTCTTATTAAAGTAACATTTTGTCTTATTAAAATATTTATATAATTTGATTATAATTAATATGAATGGTTACAAAGTATATCCAATAGCAAATCATTTATTGCTTACTCATTATAATTATTAAAACAAATTTTTTTGAATAATTATTATTTTTTGCAGATTTAATGTATTATTTCAATAATCATAACATCTGATAAAATTGAAATTATTTATTTAGTTATTTAATACTTTAGTAATATATTTGTCATAGGGGAATTAATTGAAAAAATTGATAAGGAAAAGGTTATGGTGCAGGAACACAATTTTTTTCTGCATTTTTAAGAAAGAGTCTAGTGCTTTTTTTCTCTGAAAAAAGCAATATTACTTCCTGTGTGTATAATTTATAATTATAATTTCAGGTAACACTCTAGCCAAACATTTAGTAATATGTGATCGTAAAACAGCATATATGTCTACAGAAGATGCAACTTCTAATAAAGTGGTTAGAAGTATGTTGGACATGTTAGGTCTCATGAGAAGAAATCATGACAATGAAGAAGATCATAACGATACTACTGATAATAATGATAATATTAATAATGCTGACGACGCTGACAATGCTGGTAATAATGATAATACTAATAACATGGATAATAATGATAATATGGATAATAATGATAACATTACAAATGATGATAATACGGATAATAATGATAATACAGAAAATAATGATGATATGGAAAATAATGATACTATAGATAATGATGACAATATCGATAATAATGACAATATTGATAATGATGTTAATATCGATAATAATGCTAATAATGATATGGATAATAATGATGATAGTAACAACAAAGATGTTAATCAGACTGAGCAAGTAGTAAAGTCTGATTACGTTGCAGACAAATCTGAGGAATATATGGAAAATATAGATTATGCAAAAGAGCAAAGTGTTGTAGATGATTCATCAAAATCACAGGATGAATTTGATGTATGTATGCCTTCTGTTCATATATTTATGTATTTATTTTAGAATTACAATTTGATATTGATATACATTTGTATTGATACTTACATTTTTGTATTAAATTATATTCATTCTTAGAAAATATGTGAAGAAAACCCCAATGAGGATATTATGGAAGCAGATCCTGAACAATCACAAAGTAATCTCGATGCTCCAGTTATTGACACCGGATTATCACTTGATGATCTTGCTGCTCCACCAAGTGTACTGCCTGCACCTCTTGGACAAGGAGAACTTGATATCAAAGACGACTACCAGGTTGGTGACTTAGTTTAAATTCAAAGTTATCAACAAGTTTATTTCGAATAACGTTTTTTTACAATATGGGAGTAGCCAAACTAATTGCTGGTTTAAGTTATTATTTGTTCATGAAAAATATTTTTTCAATAGATCATGTGTTTCTAAAATTTAAATTTTCTATAAGTAAAATTAAATTTTTCCTTGCAGAGTTTAGCTACCCACAAGTTACAAGCATGGAAAGTAATATGGATAGTAATGATTTTGAACCATTATCTGCTGGATCCGAGTTTGAGCCACTGTAATTTGCAAAAAAAAAAGTTTTATTGTATATAGGCTTTACGTAAATTTAGTTTTAAATATTAGTTGTTCTCAACATTTTAAGAATAACCAAGATTTTAATGTAATTTTGTTTTAATACACTTATCGTTAATATAAATTGACTAAATTTCTTTTAAAGTTCTTTGAATTTTTTTTCTCTATCATAATATCATTCTTCAAAATAATTATTTGGTTCATAACACTTTATTAAGATAATGATTTAAACAAACATTATATAAGTAAACAATTAGTAATTTAACATTGTTATGAGTGTCTTATTATACTTGATTTGACTTTGGCTGCTTTAATTTTATTGTATCTGCAATCACAAAAGTTTGATTTAATTAATCAACTAGTAAGTTTTGCATTACTTGCCAACGTAAACTACTTACATTATTGCAACATATTAAAAATACGTGCGATGGATCACCATTTTACTGCACCTTGCGCCCACTTCTTTCTAAGTTCGTCCAAATTGGGAAAGATATGATTTCTTTGAACGCTTGGATATCGTTCTATTATTTTTTCAGGGGCTGAAAATTAAACTTCTTATGTAAAACTAAACTACTTTTGACAAAATGAGAAAGTAAACCGTTATTTAAATTTTGATAATATAAATATTAACCATGATAGATAGTAATACTTACTCCAGTCTGAAACAATAATGGAACTCCAGCCTGCTTCGCGTGCTCCATGGTAATCAGCCGTTGCTTGGCGACCTATGTGCAGTGCGTCTTTAGCTTTAATACCAGGGAGACGAGATAGAAATAATGCTCGGTTAAATAAGCGCCTGTCTGGTTTTTCTGCTCCTTCATTGTAGGATGCTACAGCAAAAGCAAAATACTCCTACGAATAAGATATTAAATATATTTTACTGAACTTTATATTATTGTAATGCATTATATAACAATTAAAATTTTGACCAAGATAGGAAGTTCTATAGTTTAAGACTTTAACATTTTCTATCTGTATCGATGAGTACGATTTTTAAAGATATGTATGATAAAATTTGTGTAATTTTTCATTATTGATTTTCAAACGTTTTTATATTATTTACTAATGGCTTAAAGACAATTATTTGCTATTGTGGCTATTTTCACAAAAACAATTCTGATAGTTTTGAACTATGCAATTCATGATTGGGTATGAGTTACGAATCGTTTCAAATCTATGAAGTTAAGTTTAATTATATATTTTAATTATGCTATTACTTTTAATCCCATGCGATCAAGTAATTTGTCCAGCCTAGTATCAAAATTAGAAACAACGCCCATTCGAATTGATGATCTTGTAGCTGCGCCAATAATTGTGGACAGCCAGGGCATGTTTGCCATTGTACTGGAGAAGTAAGAATTTCTTCCACGTTCTGCGATACTGCTTCAATGCGTGGATCTCCAGGACCATCAAGATGTGTGCGGAAAGTCTCGAAGATCAATCTGTCCCACCTATATTAGGAAGATATTAATATCCACGCCTGAAAATCCGATTCATAGCAAAAAATCTTACCATTATCGTTGATGGTCAACACTTAAATAAGATGAACATGAAGTAGAATGAAATGTAAAGGTATTGAACTATTTTAATTAATGCAGTTGCACATATTATAAGTTTGTTTATATTTGCAATTATATTAGAAAATCGCGTTGATTATTTATTAGTGAAAACAAGAATTTTATTTTCAATATGAATAATAGAAAATTTTACCTAGTTTTATTGATTATTTACACTTATCGAGAAGTTTATGCAAACTTTTATGAAATAAAAGTTTAAGCCAAAATTCCACTTTCCCAATATATAAGTTTTTTTTAAAAATATTACTGCTACTAAAATTCTTCGAATACATTTTATAATTTTTCATAATCTTTAAACTGGCCTGATTTAATAATATATATACATATTATTATATACATATATATATATATATATATATATATATAATATATTTATTTATATATATTTTATTATTATTAATTATTTTGGTATTTAATTATATGTAAACTATTTAATTACCAATAAATTGTTGTGGCAAACTTAATGATTTATATTTATTTATATAATAAAATATTTCATTAATTATTATATTAATATTATTCATCATTTATTCTTTTCTAGTAATTTATATTAATATTGTTCAATTAAGTAATATTTATATGTAAAACTTTAATATTCTGCAGAAGTTAATATTAAATGTACAACTATTCAATAAATTATTATTTAAGTAAATCATTCTATATTGTAAAAAACGAATTCAAAAATTTTGAAATAAATTAAAACAAAAATTTTAATTTTAATTATATAGTTATATAGTAATTTATATAGCTTACATTATTAAGCCACCAAGTCATTATTCAACCGTTAATGGCATATATATTGAAATTTAATAATTTTAACAATTTGTTTTTTATTGGAGATAATTTAAATTATCAATATCAATTATTAATTTAAATATTTTTGATAAGTTCAATAAAAAGTCGATATCGATATTTCCGCCACTTTTAACAGTTTCCGGCATTTGCCGACAGGGGGATTCAGGATTTGCAAAGAAGACAATGGCGTCCAATATGGCGCAATATTCCAATCACGCTTACCAGAACATGGCCCATCGATGGACATCGTACTTTGACATTATTTATTTTACAGTAACGTATTTCGTATGTGTCAGTGATTTGTGAAGGAACAAAAGTGCTGAAATTTATAGTGTTAAAGTGAAGTGATGTGTTTTATGTGAAAGTTAATGAGATATGGAGCATTCGTAAGGTTTTCCTAAATAACCTCAAAATCTAATTGAAGGAACGCTCGATATTAAAATATTGTGAATTATTAATTGTTCATCAGTGGCATGTTTGGAAAAAAACCTTAAGTTATTATTTAGAAGTTGGATAAGGATTTATTACAGAAGGATTTTATCTATAAAATGTGGGATGTTGTGTAACTTCTGAATTAGTCATCAACTCGAACTGCAGGTAAGTCCTCTAAAGTAATGCTGACAAACCTTACATCAGTATCAATATTCACACATTGCAGGTACTTAAACTAAGCATTATTTTATATAAATTTTATTTAGTAGGACGTTGGAAATACTATCACAATTTCAAAATAGCGATTTGAAATTAACGAGTATAAATTTAGCAAGCGAAGAAATTGGTGATCATTTTCAACAACCCATTGTGAATTGCATGCGAAATATTATTTTTTGTTTAGTTAAATAAAAAGGCGGTAAAACATAAATTTTGAATCGATTATAGGTATTTCGGTATATAGTTGGTTGTTTGTCGTTCTTCTTTACTTAGTGTTAAAGCCGATTGCGCAATATGAGCTGCTTTTATTTTAACGATCAACACTACGTGTTTTTTGCGATGTGTCTATTTTTCCGAAAGGGCAACCCAGTGGTTAACCACTTTTCTTTATATATTAGGTGTAGTACGGACAATATGTTATGGTGTTCTCAATTTTGTCACTCTTTTACATCTTAGATTTATTTACTACCGAATAACATAGTCTTAATTAAGTAGGAATAATAACATATTTATTAAGGCAAATTACAACTAATCGAGTTTGGCTGAGGTTCTATGATTGCTAGCCCACGTTCTTCACCACTACCTTAGGGGGCATCCATTAATCAAGTGATCGATTTTAAACCCCTCCTCGCCATTTGATCAATCGGAAGATCCGCGATTGTCGTCGGCAATCTTCGCTCAGACATATGACGTCACATTGCACAACAGTAATGAATTTATTTCTATTACAAAAATGAAGTATTTTTTAGTTGAACTTCTCTAAGTAAATGAAAGTGAATTCGCAAATTATCCGTTTCATTGAAGTGCTCTTTGGTAAACCACATTTTTGTTTTTTGGTCTGGCGTTAACACAAACAAAGCGGATGGTTTCTAACTCGTGAACAGGCAACGTATAACTGCCCATGTAAAAAACAATGATTTTCTAAATAATCTATTTGAAATTTATCCCGCAAACACTAAGCGATTGGCCTTGCGACTTGTTAATTGTCATTGCGAACGCAAGGCGAACTGGAAATTGCAATCGTTTGAAGTCAAACGGAAGAGCAGTCGGAATCATTGGTATGTCACTAAATCGCAAGCAATTTTTGATTGAATGGTGAAATTCAGTGCGTGTACATCATTATTCTTTGCGGCAAGAATTGCTCGTTGACTTAACCAAGCATAATTCTGATAATTCTCACTAATGTCATTACTCGAATTTTTAATTACGGTGCGTGAAGTTCCAGCAATTTGCATTAAGGCACGATGCCATGCACAACTAATTTTCTTAGTATAAACCTAAACCTTGGGGATTCCGACACCTTTCCGACGAATGCAAAATTGTCGAAATCGGTTCGTGCGTTCTGGAGTTATTTCGTCAGGAAGGAAAACCCGACTTATTTTTATATATATGTAAGGTAAAAGACCCAGTTATTGACCCTGGCCCAGTTTCTGACCTTTTCAACTTTTTTGGAATTAATTAAAAAACTATACATTTAATGTGAAAATAAATTTTTTCTTAATTGACAGTAATTTATTCTATGCCTCATTAATGTCAATTCAACAGTAATGAATTTATTTCTATTACAAAAATGAAGTATTTTTTAGTTGAACTTCTCTAAGTAAATGAAGTGAATTCGCAAATTATCAGCGTTTCATTGAAGTGCTCTTTGGTAACCACATTTTTTTGTTTTTGGTCTGGCGTTAACACAACAAAGCGGATGGTTTCTAACTCGTGAACAGGCAACGTATAACTGCCCATGTAAAAAACAATGATTTTCTAAATAATCTATTTGAAATTATCCCGCAAACACTAAGCGATTGGCCTTGCGACTTGTTAATTGTCATTGCGAACGCAAGGCGAACTGGAAATTGCAATCGTTTGAAGTCAAACGGAAGAGCAGTCGGAATCATTGGTATGTCACTAAATCGCAAGCAATTTTTGATTGAATGGTGAAATTCAGTGCGTGTACATCATTATTCTTTGCGGCAAGAATTGCTCGTTGACTTAACCAAGCATAATTCTGATAATTCTCACTAATGTCATTACTCGAATTTTTAATTACGGTGCGTGAAGTTCCAGCAATTTGCATTAAGGCACGATGCCATGCACAACTAATTTTTCTTAGTTATAAACCTAAACCTTGGGGATTCCGACACCTTTCCGACGAATGCAAAATTGTCGAAATCGGTTCGTGCGTTCTGGAGTTATTTCGTCAGGAAGGAAAACCACTTATTTTATATATATGTAAGGTAAAAGACCCAGTTATTGACCCTGGCCCAGTTTCTCCTGACCTTTTCAACTTTTTTTGGAATTAATTAAAAAACTATACATTTAATGTGAAATAAATTTTTTCTTAATTGACAGTAATTTATTCTATGCCTCATTAATGTCAATTAAAAAAATATAAAAAAGATTAACTAAATAAAAAAAATTTTTAAACCAAAAGTGACTGTGGAAGCCATTTTTTAGCTTTAGTCTAAACAGTTTATGTAAGGAGCTACGACAATTGAGTTCGTGCACTAATTATTATGTAAGTACGAAAATCTAACTAAAATATACAATAAGTCAATAATTAATTAAAATTTATTTTAAAATATTTATAAAACATATTAATTTAGTTTTATTACTGAAATTTGAGGGTCAATAACTAGGCTCAATTTTAAGTGTATGTCACAGTTGTTGACCCTGCAATTCTAACCTTCTAAAAGCTAGGTTATCTGTCACATGTTTTTAGTCACTTGTTCATTAAATGTAAAATAATAATATTTATTGTTATCTTATATTTTTTTTACTATTTTTCGTAGTAAAGTGATAAATTTACATTTAATATTCATTGGTATAAATGAAAGATTGTATTTAAATCTTGTAAATACATCTTTTAAGTGATAAAATTATTAAAAAAAATGTCAGTTTTATCAATGCTTAAATTATGACTGTTTTAGTTTACTAATATTTTTATTATTATACAATTATACAATTACAATTAATTAAATGAAAATTAGAAGAAGAAAAAGAATTGAGAAAAGCTGAAAGGTCCAAAAATAAAGCCATCAAGGAGGCAGAAAAAATAATTAAAAAAGAAACTTGAAGAAAAAAAAACAAAAGCTCTTAAAATAAAAAAAAGTCCAAGTAATTTAAATAATTAATTTTAATTTTTTTGTTTGTGTAATATGTTATAACAAGACTTGAACTATTTATACGTTAAATTTTAACAAACTGTATATTTTTAGAATAAATATTTAATTTATTTATTTTAATAATAATTTCAGTTTATTTAAAATTAGTAAGCACTTCATAACCTAATCATGATTAAATTTGAGGGTCAGAAATTGGGCTACGGTCAGGGTCAGA